CCCATCATAAAGCTGGGCATGCACAGATGGATGCAAACACACTCAAGCCTTCCAAAGCACCAGCTTTCTACCCCACCTCCAAACCCTAAAGGAGCACCCAGACCAGGCACCACAAGCAGCTGATGGTTGCAGCTCTTGTCTCTTTGAAGCCTACACCAAGTAGTTAATAATTCCACCTCAAATCCATTCTGCATCTTCTGTTCACCTCTGCAGTTTTGCTGCTACATAACAGCAACCAGGAACAATTTCACTACAAATGTACTGATGTTACAATTCACTTCAAAACAATACATGGGCCTGCTTCTTTTCAAAGCCTGTTCAATTTTTAATGTAAAACAGAAAAATAACCACTCTTCACATGGATCAACACTGTTAAGCCTTGTCTACATTCTCAGCTTTTCTTATTTAACTTACAGGATAATGAAACGTATTGAAATGGGATTTGAAGGCAGGTGGTAGACAAGGGATGGGAAGGTATGTGTTGTTTGAGAATCCTCAATATCAGCAGACAATTTGCTGAAGCCAAATCATTTTTCTCCCAAGCAAAATAACCACTTAATGTTTTTATCCTCCCTGGTGTTTCCAGCAAGAGCACTATTAGCTCTGTAAATACAGAGTTACTGGCTATTTGAATGTATACATTTAACAAACTATTTCATTATTAGGACACTCTGCTGAAGCAGTATTTTATTTTTAAAAATGCTTTAACAAAATACTTGCTTTATGAAGGAAAAGTGTTTCGAATCACAATTTTGCCCTCCTTTATCCTTATTAAACAGCATTGATTTCCTAGTCTATGGGTAAATTGTTAAACTGAATGTGGCACAGATTTGCTGTTGCTGCTGAATACATCTTCTGCTATACTGCCAATTATCAGAGGAAAATTTAAAATCAAAAGATGTTGTTAAGAAAAATAACCAACATTATTTCTTCTTGACCCTTGAGTGCTAAGGTTACTTTTCAATCTCCTCTATTATTCCTCACTCTCAGAACAGAGCAAGCCTGGTCTTGTTATATCTAATCCAACTCCAAGTGCCATTTCTTTCCAACTCATTCTCACAACTTACACCTCTTTCAGTTGTGACTTCTTTATCATTTGTAGCTTTTGTTTGTTTGTTTCCCTTCAGCCACAGGTAACAAATTCTAGGCCATGTGAAATATAAACCAGATAGATACAGCACATCAGCTATGGGGGTTTGGGGTTTCTTTTCCTTTTCTGGATAGTTACCACAGGTAACAACAATTTCCCTACTTCTCCCACACAAAAGCCAGCACAAGCTTCCCAAAATGCAGTTTTTGAAAAGGCATGTAGGACCATAATTACATGTAGACCAGTGGAACTGCTTCACCAAAGGGGAAAATTAAAGGAGACCAACTAACCAATAGGTTAGCAAAAGGGGAGCATTAATGGATCAATTGATCAATTTAAGTGCCAAGTGTCCAGAGAAGCTTTCAAAGGTGATAACTGATTTTAGTACCACTGTAGGGACAGATTTGAATTGTGCACTATAGCAGTGCTGTTTCAGCCATTATATGACTGAATTATTACTATTTCTGTAACAACTTGGATGTAAAACTTGACTCTGGGCTGAATTGCATCACTTAAGGGAATTCAGGAGGAAATCATTTTACATGTTCAATGAAATTAAATGTATTTTGCATTCCTGATGTCACCATTTGCCAACCTTGAACAAATTCTGTGCCAAGCTTGTTAGACAAAACCCGTGCACTGGCACAACCTATGCTGGTATCTTCCAGACAAGGAGAGAACCAGAAGGAAGCCTCAGTGTGCCCCAAGAGGTTTAAATCCATGTGTTCATTAAGAGAGCTGAGGACAAACGAATCAAGGAAATAAATAGGAAGAGAACAATGTAGGCTGACATAAACACTTCTGCATAACTCAGGGTATGCCTCCCCAAATCCATATGCAGATACAGTAATTCTAACCTCTTCCTGCCCCTCCCAAGTAAATTAGCAGGTCTAAACTTCAGAGCAAATAAGACAGAAATCTCCAAAGGCTTCATGGCTTCATCTGTTTTAGAGTAATTATACCCTGATACACCAAGTTCCTCAACCAATATTTACTCCTCCTCCTTCTGTTTTAAAATTAGAAAGCAAGCACCATATCCATAACACAATGTTTCTGAAACCAAAGAGCTAAGACTCTCCTCCCAATTAAAATGCAGCAAGCAGACTGGTTTTAACACTCAGTGGCATTCTTTTTATGGACTCTTATTCCTTCATAGACCACACAGCATAGAGCAATTAGACATTTTTCTTGTTTTATGAATTTCAGACTCTGTGCCTGTGCAAGTGTCTTAAAATATTCAAAACCACTACAATGCAACAAAACACATTTAAATCCCTACATTAAGAGTAATTGAATAATTCTGATATTTAATTGCTCTTCTTCTGTCATAGGATTACAGTCCTTTGAGTAAATCACACAATTACTGAGTGCAGACCAAAGAATGACTGTTCCCCAAAGTCATTTTAGACAAGAGCATCTTTAGCACCTCTAAAGGATTTAATGTGATGATCAAGTAGGACACTGACAAATTTGAGGACCTGAAATACTCACACAAACGAATCAGAATGGAAACAACAAAGTGACTTCCACACTTTTTATGGTAGAGAAGCAATAGTTTGGATTTATTTTCTAAGACTGATCTCACGTGCTTATAGGATCCTGTGAATGACAAGAGAGGTGGGTGAGTGAAACCAGAGAGAAAACTCTGCTTCAGTGGCCTCACACCAAGACTCACGTGGTTCTTCTATTCTGTGCAGAACTTAGAACTAAACTGAGGCAGAGGGGAAGCCACAGAAGAGATGCACACTTGTCTTTGCCTTTATTATTTCAAGCTAAAATTTCTACTGTGCTTTCTCTGCTCTTGCAGAAATGCTTCTTATAACTTCTATACTTTAAACATACAGTAGGCTACATGAAATTATACAAGATAAGTATCTGTAGAGATGCTTTAGGAGACTTTGCAGCAACAACTGACATCTTTGCCCTCTTCTATGCAGAAAAGATTCAATACAGCCTGGGGAATCATACTGATAGACAGAAATGGAGTGAGAAAAATCTTTCTTAATAATTTTCCAAAATAAATTTAGGCTGTGAAAGACTGGGAAGAATATTAATCTGTTTGATTCATACATACTCTCTTTTAAGACAAATTAATTACACAGCAGAAGCATTTAGCATAAAAATACAAGCTTTGAAAAGTGAGTGCTAAGTGTAGTACAGGGAAATGAAACTGATAGAAGGAGATGGAAAGAGGCTAATTAGAAAATGTCTCCAAGAGCATAACCATTTACAAAAAGGACATAAGATAAAGCACTGTGGGCTTTAGCAGATTATTAATGGTTTGCAAGATTTAGTACCCAATCACCTTTGGAGATCAGTTTTTTTCCCACCCAATTTAGTCTCAACTACAAAAATGCAAAATAGCAAAGGCCACTGTTGGTTATAATGAGGTCACAATCTAATTGTGTTCTTATTTCAAATTTTTAAGTAACAGCCCTAGAAATATAATGCCTTAAAATAAACCCTAGTTCAACAAGCCTGAACTCTAAACTGGAAAACTGTGACCACATTCTTATCTTCCTTGGTTCTTCATAAAAGGTGAGCATAAATCCTTGTTCTTCAGTGGGTATTAATGCTCTGGGAAGAGTTCCCTTTAGTAGGTCTAAGTAGATTCCATTACTGCAATGATTTTTTCCCCAAGGAAAAATAGAATAGCTCATGTTTCACTCTAGCAGTCACTCATTTAGTCACATGGCTGAGGAATATTACTTCTCTGCATGCAAGGTTCTGAAACCAGACCCATAAGAAGAGCGACTTGAGACCTCACTACCAATTTTGAGTGGAATTTCTGTAATAGCAAAGCCTTCAGAAATGATGCAGCAATTTTAAGCAAAACTAGAAGATTTAAATTCATTCGTTTCTCCATTGAAAGGAAACAGTACTTTGGATATTTGGGGGCAGATTAAAAAGATGAGTTCTGCATCCTCTGACCCCATATTTTGCCTATTAATCAATTTTAATAAGCAGGAGAATGTTACTGACATTACACATTAGAACAGGGAGTCAAGTAGAAGTGGATGTAAATTACTGACCTAGGGAATAAATCTGCAGTGCTCTGCTACTCCTGTGAGCCTGCTCTTCTGATTTACCTGAGAGCTTTACATTCCAGAAAATTAATACAAGTGGTTTTTTCTCAAATTTTCAAGCCCACTGGCTTATTGTTGATCACGACACAGCATTATTTGTTAATAATCACACTCTGGGCTCACCACAGAATTACAATCACCTAGCAAGAATCCCATATGCAGTTGGATACAATACACAGATGCATTTCTGTTCATTATTCAGAAGTAAATAAAAAAGTAGAAGGACTAGAGTTTCATGAACGCTTGTGTTTCACTTACTAAAACATAGGCAGGGTGCCACTGGGAATATCAAAAGCAGGCATGTTTCTGGAATTACAGCCCTACCTCTCTGAGAACTCTGAAGTGCATGGGGTTTATTTTTCTATGCAAGCATTAACCATTCACAAAAACCCATTTTGACAGAACATTCATAGCAAGAGATTCCATATCATAGTAATGTAATGTTCATATGAAGAAATGCTTGAAGCATTTAGGCACTTCATGAAATAACCGAATGAAGCACACAGCGTCACTCAAGTAATTTTTCCAAGTGACTCAAAGGTTGTAGCTCTTTCATAAAATGACTGGTGTCAGAATATGACCAACATAAATATCATTTCTCCTGCTTGTTTCAAAAATCTGCAGTAGCACACCAGAGAATCAGACCCGCACTGCGCCACATCATGACCTTGGGAACAGAAACCAAATCCTGGCCCAGGAACTATTGGTGTTTTGTTAGCCAGAGATAGTGTTCACAATAATTTAAAGCACAAATGGCTGCTAGGAAGAAGAATAGAAGGCAAGGATGATAAAAACGGGGCTGTTTCCCATGAGAAGTCTAAGAGCTGTCTATTACTCCAACAGCAACCTCAAGCTGATCAAGTTCCACAAGCACTGTTTTGTCTGGAGGATGGAATGAATTCATGTCCAACAATGCAAAACTTCCCGAGGAGTTCTTAATAAAACAACGAGGGTTTGGGGCAAAAATAAATAACAGAATAGACTACTTTTTAAGCTAAATATTGAAACAAGGACTTATTTTCAGAGTGCTTTTCAAATATTCAAGATTTGTTTTGAAAACAGAAAAAAAACCCCACTGATTTGTATGTGGTATTTACAATAAACTGATTAAGTGGCAGCAACATTATGTACACATTTGCAACTGTTGCCATTAAAAAAGGGAAATGATGAAATTTAGTTTCAGCCCTTCTCTGAAGTTATTTTTGTAATGTGAGTTAGATCCTTAGTGCATGCAATAGAGGTGGGAGGGAGAGGGGGAAGTTGCAATGTCCGTGGATGATTAGGATTCTTTTTAAAAATGTCGCCATCTGCGTTAATAAAATGTACATACTTTTGTTTTGCTTAGAAACCCTGAAAATGGCATTCATGTGGGCATATTTCATGGCTGGGGCTCTCTAAGATATAAAATAGTCTGCAAAATACTCATCCTCAGCACCATTCATCAGAGGATCCAAACATGCTTTAGCTCTTCAAACTAATTGGTGTTGGGCATCTTGCTTAAAACTTCCACAGCAACACTTTCTGTGTGAGGTCTGCCTGGGAAAAAGTTTGCAGAATCATATCCCTTGCTTTTCACAATTCAATAAAAGTCCTGCAGAGAATCAGGTATGAATGATCTTATATTAATTATCATGTTCAGCTTTACCTTTGAGACCTGTCACACTGGAATTTAAAATTCATCTCTAAGTATGTGATAGGGAAAAAAAAAGTTATGCATTACCTTATGGATGTTTCCCACTGAAACACGTCCTTGTTCCTTAACTATTTAAATTGACTTCACTTGGGTTCTGTTTTTATTCTTGGGTTTACTATGTTTTAATGGTTACAGGGCTATTAAACTGTGAAATAGCTGTGATCTCCATTTTCCTTTTTTGATCTCATCCATGGAGATAACAAAAGCCGGGTCAGCTCTACTGAAAGAACGTTGACCCTGCAGAGATGCTGAATCCAGGCTCTCCGGCTCCATCTTCTGGTACAAAGGTACCTAAGAAAGCAGTGCTCCCCTAGGTAATTTTACCAGCCATAATGTCTTTAATATAGTACAGGATTCCAGCAAAAATGAGATTATTCATAATGTATGGCAAGATCTGAGTTGGTACTTCCTGCATTGAAAGACAATAATTTGCTCTCCTCATTTCTCACAGATTTTCCCCATTTCTTCTAATCCCCAAGATATGATGGAATTAGTCTCAAAGATGCTTCCATCTACAGGGACTAGATAAAAATAATTTTGGAATTATATTCAAGATTGAAACAGACTCAAAATAAATCTTAAAATCTTTTGGGATTCACTTACTACAGATGTCATGTAACATGCACAGAGTTTGAACAAATCATTCCAATCCGCACCGGAATAACAGAACCAACCCAAAACCAAATCCTTGACCACTTAGAATTTAAAATTTCACAGAATTTCTATGGGTTTAGATACATAACTCACGTTACAATGAACACTAAGAACAAAACTCTAGAAACCTTTTTCTTGTATATATAAATGCTGAATAATCTAAACTATTCCAGTGCTAAAACAACTCTGTTTTAAGCAAAATTTAAACTAAAATACAGGAAAAAGCAAATCACGTTGTTAAATCTGGTCCAAACCCACCTTGTTCAAGCAGTGTGTTACTTATGGTCTCTTCAAGATTAGGGAGTGCTTTAAGCTGCTGCTGTTCACACTAATACTTGCTTGAAGAACTTGAGCTCAAAAAAGCCAAAGGAGATTGCCCTCAATGCACAAACAGCTCCACTGTGCGTGGCTTTCTGACACAAAAGCCAAGGAAATATTAATCCCCAGGTTTTTCAGGATCAGTAAAATTTGGGTCCTTAAAAATTGCAGTCTTGGAGGTTAACTTAGGAATTTAGATTTCTGTTAGTCATTTTAAATATTTATGATGTTTAGAAGCACTTGTAACTGCACCAGTATCACAGTATTCCACTACTGCTGCAGCTTCATTTTTTTCTGATATTTATAATTATTCATGATAGGCACCAGAATCACAATATTCCAGTATTGCTGCTACTGCCAAGTTAATTTTAGCAAAGTCAAAGCACTGAACGGTGTTGAACTACACTATTTGGTTCAGAGTTTTCCAAGATGTACAGGAAGAGACTGTATCTGAAGGATAGTTCACCCCATAGTTTCAACTCTTATGTGCCTGCCCAAATGATTGTCACGTGAGCTACAGGAATGGCTGCGAGACTGAAAGAGGAAATGCAAGTGGCTCTCTTACCTGCCTCAGAAAAATTCTTTGCGCTTTGAGGTTTTTGAGTGAAGAACGGCATTGAAGATCACAAAGAGCAGTGATTACTTAATTAGTCCAGGCAGATGTCTACATATTCATTTTTCTGGAATGGAGAATACAGAGTTCTGTAATTCTAAAACTGGATTTCAAGGGGGCAAGGGAGAGCAGAGTTGGCAATATTTTCCATTTGAATAAAGCTTCCATTATTATTTCAAATTACAAAAAAATGATCATTCTTTAGTTATGGCTTCTTACTGTGTGACAATGGAAAAAGCTAGCACAGTAAACCATTTGCAATCAAAAAAATGTAACAGGGAAAACTTATGGAGAGTAACAATAAAAGCACATTAAACAATGGGTGAATGCTTCAATGGAACTTAGAGGAAGAAAGCTTTTAAAAATTTTCTTCTAACACTTACTGTACAGTCACACCAAATGTGAAGACTAAGTTCTAGGAAGTTTTGTTGCTCCCTGCCTTCTCCTAGTTTACTGCACAGTGCATTATTTACATAAAACAGAATTTCTTCTGTGGGAAAGGCTTGCATGGTACTTCAAAGCCTGAATAAATCAGGGACTGCAGCTTGAACTAACAAAAAAATCATCCAAAAAATTTTTTTCAATATCTGCATTGTATTACCTTATCAAGCTCCCTGTCTAGCTGAGTTATTCAGGTATCCACACCAGAAATGACAGACAATGTCTCTCTATGATGATGTGATGTTACTTCAAATGAAAAAAAACAATAAATAAAAATCACAGATTAATTTCCCATACAAATGATGACTCACTACTCCCAAATCCTTCCTATAGCAGGATGCTCACTTCAGTCTGGAAGTCTTCATGTTGCAGCCTGCAGGAATCAGCTTATTTCCTGTCAAGGGCTGGAAACCCTACAGGAACTGGTTTTGGTTGAAGAACTTCTCCAAGGTGCTTACCTGTGGCACTTATCCAGGTAAGGGATGTTAGCTCCCTCTTCTTTGAGGTTCAGTGTCCAACCACTCCTACTGCTGTAAGAAGAACAGAAGAAACATCTGCCCATAGCAAGGACTGCACTGGTGTGGATACCTGAATAACTCAGCTAGACAGGGAGCTTGATAAGGTAATACAATGCAGATATTGAAAGGAATTTTTTTGATGATTTTTCTGTAGATTCAAACTGAAGTCCCTGATTTATTCAGGCTTTGAAGTACCATGCAAGCCTTTCCCACAGAAGAAATTCTGTTTTATGTAAATAATGCACTGTGCAGTAAACTAGGAGAAGGCAGGGAGCAACAAAACTTCCTAGAACTTAAAATCTTCACATTTGGTGTGACTGTACAGTAAATGTTAGAAGAAAATTTTTAAAAGCTTTCTTCCTTTAAGTTCCATTGAAGCATTCACCCATTGTTTAATATGCTTTTATTGTTACTCTCCATAAGTTTTCCCTGTCACATTTTTTTGATTGCAAATGGTTTACTGTGCTAGCTTTTTCCATTGTAACACAGTAAGAAGCCATAACTAAAAAATGATCATTTTTTTTTGTAATTTGAAATAATAATGGAAGCTTTATTCAAATGGAAAATATTGCCAACTCTGCTCTCCCTTGCCCCCTTGAAATCCAGTTTTAGAATTACAGAACTCTGTATTCTCCATTACAGAAAAATGAATATGTAGACATCTGCCTGGACTAATGAAGTAATCACTGCTCTTTGTGATGTTCAATGCCGTTCTTCACTCAAAAACCTCAAAGCACAAAGAATTTTTCAGAGGCAGGTAAGAGAGCCACTTGCATTTCCTCTTTCAGTCTCGCAGCCATTCCTGTTGCTCACGTGACAATCATTTGGGCAGGCACATAAGAGTTGAAGCTATGGGGTGAACTATCCTTCAGATACAGTCTCTTCCTGTACATCTTGGAAAACTCTGAACCAAATAGTGTAGTTCAGCACAGTTCAGTGCTTTGACTTTGCTAAAATGAACTTGGCAGTAGCAGCAATACTGGAATATTGTGATTCTGGTGCCTATCATGAATAATTATAAATATCAGAAAAAAATGAAGCTGCAGCAGTAGTGGAATATTGTGATACTGGTGCCTGTTACAAGTGCTTCTAAACATCATAAATATTTAAAATGACTAACAGAAATCTAAATTCCTAAGTTAATCTCCAAGACTGCAATTTTTAAGGACCCAAATTTTACTGATCCTGAAAAACCTGGGGATTAATATTTCCTTGGCTTTTGTGTCAGAAAGCCATGCACAGTGGAGCTGTTTGTGCATTGAGGGCAATCTCCTTTGGCTTTTTTGAGCTCAAGTTCTTCAAGCAAGTATTAGTGTGAACAGCAGCAGCTTAAAGCACTCCCTAATCTTGAAGAGACCATAAGTAACACACTGCTTGAACAAGGTGGGTTTGGACCAGATTTAACAACGTGATTTGCTTTTTCCTGTGTTTTAGTTTAAATTTTGCTTAAAACGGAGTTGTTTTAGCACTGGAATAGTTTAGATTATTCAGCATTTATATATACAAGAAAAAGGTTTCTAGAGTTTTGTTCTTAGTGTTCATTGTAATGTGAGTTATGTATCTAAACCCATAGAAATTCTGTGAAATTTTAAATTCTAAGGGGTCAAGGATTTGGTTTTGGGTTGGTTCTGTTATTCCTGTGCGGATTGGAATGATTTGTTCAAACTCTGTGCATGTTACATGACATCTGTAGTAAGTGAATCCCAGAAGATTTTAAGATTTATTTTGAGTCTGTTTCAATCTTGAATATAATTCCAAAATTATTTTTATCTAGTCCCTGTAGATGGAAGCATCTTTGAGACTAATTCCATCATATCTTGGGGATTAGAAGAAATGGGGAAAATCTGTGAGAAATGAGGAGAGCAAATTATTGTCTTTCAATGAAGTAAGCACCAACTCAGATCTTGTCATACATTATGAATAATCTCATTTTTGCTGGAATCCTGTACTATATTAAAGACATTATGGCAGGTAAAATTACCTAGGGGAGTACTGCTTTCTTAGGTACCTTTGTACCAGAAGATGGAGCCGGAGAGCCTGGATTCAGCATCTCTGCAGGGTCAACGTTCTTTCAGTAGAGCTGACCCGGCTTTTGTTATCTCCATGGATGAGATCAAAAAAGGAAAATGGAGGTCACAGCTATTTCACAGTTTAATAGCCCTGTAACCATTAAAACATAGTAAACCCAAGAATAAAAACAGAACCCAAGTGAAGTCAATTTAAATAGTTAAGGAACAAGGACGTGTTTCAGTGGGAAACATCCATAAGGTAATGCATAACTTTTTTTTTCCCTATCACATACTTAGAGATGAATTTTAAATTCCAGTGTGACAGGTCTCAAAGGTAAAGCTGAACATGATAATTAATATAAGATCATTCATACCTGATTCTCTGCAGGACTTTTATTGAATTGTGAAAAGTAAGAGATATGATTCTGCAAACTTTTTCCCCGGCAGACCTCACACAGAAAGTGTTGCTGTGGAAGTTTTAAGCAAGATTCCCAACACCAATTAATTTGAAGAGCTAATGCATGTTTGGATCCTCTGATGAATGGTGCTGAGGATCAGTATTTTGCAAACTATTTCATATCTTAGAGAGCCCCAGCCATGAAATATGCCCACATGAATGCCATTTTCAGGGTTTCTAAGCAAAACAAAAGTATGTACATTTTATTAACGCAGATGGCGGCATTTTTAAAAAGAATCCTAATCATCCATGGACATTGCAACTTCCCCCTCTCCCTCCCACCACTATTGCATGCACTAAGGATCTAACTCACATTACAAAAATAACTTCAGAGAAGGCTTGAAACTAAATTTCATCATTTCCCTTTTTTAATGGCAACAGTTTCAAATGTGTACATAATGTTGCTGCCACTCAATCAGTTTATTGTAAATACCACATACAAATCAGTGGGGTTTTTTTCTGTTTTCAAAACAAATCTTGAATATTTGAAAAGCACTCTGAAAAGAAGTCCTTGTTTCAATATTTAGCTTAAAAAGTAGTCTATTCTGTTATTTATTTTTGCCCCAAACCCTCGTTGTTTTATTAAGAACTCCTTGGGAAGTTTTGCATTGTTGGACATGAATTCATTCCATCCTCCAGACAAAACAGTGCTTGTGGAACTTGATCAGCTTGAGGTTGCTGTTGGAGTAATAGACAGCTCTTGGACTTCTCATGGGAAACAGCCCCGTTTTTATCATCCTTGCCTTCTATTCTTCTTCCTAGCAGCCATTTGTGCTTTAAATTATTGTGAACACTATCTCTGGCTAACAAAACACCAATAGTTCCTGGGCCAGGATTTGGTTTCTGTTCCCAAGGTCATGATGTGGCGCAGTGCGGGTCTGATTCTCTGGTGTGCTACTGCAGATTTTTGAAACAAGCAGGAGAAATGATATTTATGTTGGTCATATTCTGACACCAGTCATTTTATGAAAGAGCTACAACCTTTGAGTCACTTGGAAAAATTACTTGAGTGACGCTGTGTGCTTCATTCAGTTATTTCATGAAGTGCCTAAATGCTTCAAGCATTTCTTCATATGAACATTACATTACTATGATATGGAATCTCTTGCTATGAATGTTCTGTCAAAATGGGTTTTTGTGAATGGTTAATGCTTGCATAGAAAAATAAACCCATGCACTTCAGAGTTCTCAGAGAGGTAGGGCTGTAATTCCAGAAACATGCCTGCTTTTGATATTCCCAGTGGCACCCTACCTATGTTTTAGTAAGTGAAACACAAGCGTTCATGAAACTCTAGTCCTTCTACTTTTTTATTTACTTCTGAATAATGAACAGAAATGCATCTGTGTATTGTATCCAACTGCATATGGGATTCTTGCTAGGTGATTGTAATTCTGTGGTGAGCCCAGAGTGTGATTATTAACAAATAATGCTGTGTCGTGATCAACAATAAGCCAGTGGGCTTGAAAATTTGAGAAAAAACCTCTTGTATTAATTTTCTGGAATGTGAAGCTCTCAGGTAAATCAGAAGAGCTGGCTCACAGGAGTGGCAGAGCACTGCAGATTTATTCCCTAGGTCAGTAATTTACACCCACTTCTACTTGACTCCCTGTTCTAATGTGTAATGTCAGTAACATTCTCCTGCTTATTAAAAATGATTAATAGGCAAAATATGGGGTCAGAGGATGCAGAACTCATCTTTTTAATCTGCCCCCAAATATCCAAAGTACTGTTTCCTTTCAATGGAGAAACGAATGAATTTAAATCTTCTAGTTTTGCTTAAAATTGCTGCATCATTTCTGAAGGCTTTGCTATTACACAAATTCCACTCAAAATTGGTAGTGAGGTCTCAAGTCACTCTTGTTATGGGTCATGAAGTTCTGCACAGAATAG